ATTTAAAAATATTTTATTATACTTAAGAGTATATTTAACTGTTTTACATTAATATTTAAACATTTAAAATTTTAGTATTAATAATTTCAAAATATCATATATTTTATCTATTCATGTTTGCTTAATATTTTCATAATTTTTCAATTAAAAAATTCTATTTAGAAAACAGCCCAGAGTTTAATATCCAAGTCCGATATCTCGTAACACTCAATCATCCGCCGCCCGCCGGGAGTAGCTGGAGATATTTCATTATCCTAAGTCCAAACGGATTGAAAATTTGAACGGAATTGATATCTAAAAAATTTTTTAAGTTGTACTTATCTATGAGAAATCTATCTATCGAGAAATGTGCCATATTCATTATTTCATACAGATTTTTTTAAAAGGTTCTTTTGTTATATTTGATTTTGTTTCTATCACATATAGTTAGTTATATTACAAATTTAGGTTATTGAAGCTTTTAGCTATTTATTGTAGTAGGAGATCCCGATCTATTCCTTCACTCCACTCTTCACACTTTTTCCAGGCGATATATTTTTTTAAACAATAAAACATATTAACAAAAAACGACCCAGGGGGGTTGTGACCAAAACTTTGCTGCAGTTTTTGCTGTAGTATTTACAATGCAAGAAACCTTTCGTAACAATAAAAGAGACGTGGAAAAGCAAAATTTTCTATCAACATTCATAAGTTTTTTATATCGACACTAATTTAGTATTCAAAACAGAATGAAGCTGGAAACTTAAACTCTTCTTTAAATACAAAACATTTTTTTTCCAAGTAAGAGAACACGTACATATCGCCATATCAAAGACCTATTATTATCCAAGTTAAGCGGCGAGGAAACTCCGGCACTTTGGCCGACTTACAGACTAAGATGCTTTCATCCAGTGACCTGTTGCATCCGGCAATAAAATAAATCCCGTCTCCCTTCCCACCCTTAAAGACGATCGTATTATAAAGCTTCAGATGAAATTCAAATGGAACGATATTTTATAGTAGATATTGTAGAAAGTTTTTTAGTATTTCTATCAAAAAATGATTTTTTATTTACAGACAGACCTCTTTATCTTATCAAGAAAACTTGTACTAATAATATCACCTTTGCTTATCTTATGTCTACTTTACTTCTCCACGCCGTCTTTAGAAACTTTTTTCTTTCATATCACATATTGAGGTTATTTTTTGAAAATATGTTGCTGCTTCAAAAAAAGACATAATAAACATTTTCACATATTATGTTTGAATCTCAGACTAAAACATTACGTATAGGTACGAGTATAGTCCGCCAAAATAAATGTCCATGCGTGCGTGATTTGCTGTATATGCTATTATTTTTTATTTTGCCATAAGAATCGTTTACATACTTTCTTTAAAGAGTAACGGAAATTTTATTAAATTAATATTCAAGTTTTGAGAATAAATATGGATAATAAAAATAATAGGAACTATATATTCTTTTGTACTCGTATTTTTAAGTATTAGTTCTTTTAGTTAGTTTATTTCTTTTTTCCTTATTGTAATAAAATTCATTAGCATTATTATTTATTAATATTGATTTACTTGTCACTAAGTAAACAAATTACATATTATTTACAAACATTATTGTTTGGATTCAACTCTCTCTTTGACCCTGTCTAAACTATTCCTTAGTTTGAGGTTTTAATAAATAAATTGGCATCACGCATTTCTAAAAATTAATGAAAACTATTTTTTTTTCTATGTATTACTTTTTACCATTTTAGTAAAAAGATTTTGGATATTAATTTAAAAGTTGCTCCACAAATGTGTAAGTTATACTTATATTATTTTATTTTAGCAAACTTAAACCATAAATATTAACAAGTAACAAGCAAGTAAACACATTATTTAATGAAGAAATCTAAAGTTGAAAATTGTCACTGGTGGAACCATTATCTAGTCGTACGTTTTAGTCTTAAACGGAAGATCTCTATTTACCAATTGCTCTCGTTAATATTACTCATTCCTATGCTATAATTAGGTACATACATACATTTTAACGAAATTACAACAGGAAAAAGTCGTAAACTTAATGACCTTTTGAAGTAGATAATTCATATAAGTAAAAACTTTCTAAACTTACTTTCTTCTTAACTAAATATTTTGCTCCTTCTAAAAATATTAAATCTTATAATATTTTAAAGATCTCCTATACTTTTCAATATACTTTACAAAAAATGCCTTAATTTTGGTATAACCAAACTCTTGTAACCTAAGTCTAAATAATAATAGGTACCTACAGTATAATCATTTCTATGTATGTAAGATAGTAAATTCAATTCGAGAAAAACTTTATTCAAACGCTATACAGTACACAGTAATCCATTTCATCAACATCAAAGTTGTAAATTTTTTTAATTTACAAGCTAAAATATTGCACGTTCATATCATTTTTAAGGAAACAGTGTCGTACGTCAAACAGTGGAAATTTCGTATTGGCCGACGACGTTACAAACCACGTTTTTTGTATCGGAAAAGGGAAAAACAAGTGAGGCATCACAATCTTCTTTCCTACTCCGGAAGTGAAATAACATTAAACGTGAATAAATGAAATATAATATATGTATGTATGTGTATTGTAAAATAAGTCAAAGATTTTATTTTGTCAGTCTGTTTAAATAAAGCTAACTGTAATACATATAATCCATACTAATATTATGAATGTGAAAGTGTGTTTCTTTGTTTGTGTGTCCTTCTTTCACGTCAAAACGGTGTGACCGATTGTCCTGATTTTATGTGTGGAGATAGTGGAAGGGCTGGAGAGTGACATAGGCTACTTTTTACCATGGAACATTATCTCATTCCCAAGGGAAAACACGTTATAATACCACCCAAAAAATTATTTACGATCAAAATTACTTGAAACTTGGTATTAATGCTCTTCAATACAATGAAATAAATACGTGTGTTAGCATTTTTCGAAATTAGTCCCATAAATGTGGGATGAAAGTTTGTATGAAACCAACCTAGTTTTTTTTAAGTATTTTTGGGTGTTAGCGCGAGTGAAACTGCGGGTTGTGCTAGTATTGTAATATATACATATTTAAGTTCTTTTTTAATGATTGTTTTAATTTTTTTAATTAAGCAATGTAGACTTCATTATTATGCTAAATTAATTAATTTAACTCCACTAGGTACTTATTTACTTTTTATACTTTTAATCTTATTAAATATTTATCTATACGTTTTCTACATATGTCCATTGTAGAACCTTTAAATTTTTAAGAATTTTATTGTATTCAGCCCTTTTTAACGTCCAACTGCTGGGCACGGGCCTCCCTTCAGAACGAGGGGGATCAGGCCATAGTCCACCATGCTGGCCATGTGCGGGTTGGCGGACTTCACATGTCTTTCGGTTGCTAGGTTCTCTCAGAAATGCAAGCTTTCTAATGATGTTTTCCTTCACCGTATTTAACAGTATTTAAGAATTTAATTCTCATATAATCTACTCACCAATATCCACAATAATAGATACATAAAATACAATAACTAAAAATATCTTATCCACCAACAGTTCTACACAGTATTGTCTCGACATTCATAAAAGCTTGTTCTAAGTAAATGTAAGACTTAAAAGGCCAATTACCGCACAATTTGCTCGCCCCCTCTGTCCTGAGGGGCCCGATATGAAATTATTGCCTTGAGAATTGCGATCTATGATCTGAGATTGCTCCTTTTAAAGAGAAAGAAAGTGATTTTTTTCAATCTTAAGAGGATTAGCTGTTATTTTAATAGAAAACTGAAGTTCTCGATCATTATTTCATTTTCTATTACTTAAGCTGCTTTAGCTAGCTTTATCTGTACCTATATAATTAGTTGAGTAATGCTTTATGGAATGAAATGTACAAAAGCGTACTGAAAGGCAACATTATAAGCAGCGGTAAGTTGTATACTCAGTGTGTTATTATTACCTACGTCTCGATATCATAATTGAATATACTGAAAAATAAAATGTAATATGTAAGCTTAGCTAAAATAAAAAATTATATGTTATTTTTTACTAGCATTGCCCACGGCTCCGCCTGCGTTCAGATGACCAATAACCAAATTCTTATGTTTTGCATATTAGTATACTCTTACATTGCAGTTTTTGTATTTTTTCTCAGAAATGAGACATTTTCCCGCGGTAAAAAGTAGTAAGTAGTAACCACCTATCACCATACCAAATCTCATCAAAATCCCTCCAGTGGTTTTTCTGTGATGCGGTAACAGACAGGCAGACAGACAGAAAAAATTTTCTATAAATTATAGATTCGGCCTCTGTTTCAATAATAATGTCTATTTCAATAAGATTTTTCAAAAAATATTTAATGTACTACAGATTCGGCTTAGTTACAATTTTATTATATGTATAGATTAATTGACTGATTGAGAAAAAATATATTTCAAACTTTTGTGAACCAATTCTTGCAAAAAATTATATGGAAACAAGTTGGCAAAGAAACATAGTATTACGCAGTCAAAGTAGACAAAGGAACTCGCGTTATAAAGACGACTATAATAATTAATGAGGTACGAATCAAACAACAGATTTTGATTACGATTTATGTAATTACGAGGGAGCATAGGATCGAACATTACATACATAACATGTATGTAAATACATACCTATCGGTCAAACGCATAACCCTCCTTTGGGCTTCAGCACAGTCGAGTAAAAATAAGATGAGGTGTTATTTAAGGAAGATTTACTATTGACATAAAACTATCTTTGCGAAGTTTTCGTGTTTTATTTTGATCTTTGGTTTTTCAATATTGTTTTAATTATCTACAAAATTATAATGACTATATTAATTTGGAAATAAGACAGAAATTTCATCGAAAGACTGTTGGTAATAACTATTACAATTGCAAAGTCGAACACCTTAATCTCTCCTGTGACCATGTTTACTGTACGTATTCAAAACGCCGGGAACCAATAAACACAATATCCGCGTAAATCTTAAAAAGTAATTAGTTTTTACCATTTTTTTCCACAGGGGCTTTTCTAGTACCATACTGTATCATGCTGGTGGTGGGTGGCATTCCTCTCTTTTATATGGAGTTGGCACTGGGACAGTTTCATCGAAAAGGGGCCATCACATGTTGGGGCAGACTTGTACCACTTCTTAAAGGTAGGTAAAATCATAAAGTTTTAAAATTAAACATTTTTAATCAAATAAATAAAAAAAAATGTTTATATATTATAAACAAGAATTGTTATTGTGTTATTGGGCGTGAACTTTCAACTTTGATAGATATTTTAATTAAACTGTTAGGTAAAATCGAAATACACAGTGCTTAATCAATATAAAATATATACATACTAAAATAAAGTTACTAAAAATAAAATTACATCTGATAACGTAAAGATTGATAATTTTCCTGTTATCAGATTTTAATCATATTTTTATCAAAATATAATCAATTTATGAGTTATGACCACTTAGTCCAGTCATGTGGTAAAAGAATAAGGCATGAGCGCTCAAAGTCTTAGCGATCTTGATTTATAGCGCTTAAATCTACGGACGTAAAAGAAAGAAATAAAAGCGAAAATATTTCGAAATATTTTAGTTACAAACTCAAGTTTGAAATATTACAAATACTTCGGCAAAACGATAGTTAAATGATGCAGATGAGACAAAAAATTATACTGCATTTGTAATGCTACATCGCAATTTGGCTGTGATATATAAAAGTAACTCTTTTAAAACTGTTTATTGGAATTTTATCGTCTTCCACCATAGCCACTCCACCATAGACTATAACATTGTTCATAGAATAAAATAAAGATCATATCATGCGTCGCGATCCCGGGCTTGCACTTAACATCCATAATTGACACCATTTCTCGGTCCCCCCTTAAGTGCTCCATACGCTTTCAAAAGACTGCAGATTTGCGAGGTCGGCTTATGGCCGGCGATTTCATTTCACTTGTCACGTAGCTAAGTGCCGCCGAGCGAGCGACGATGGTATGATTTAAAGAATAAAATTGGTAATGGAGTGGAAAGTGGGAAGCTTTTGGGCATATTTTCTTAGAAAGGGTTCGCCGATTGTGTTATCGTTCTCTTGATAGCACAAGGTATTGTTCCTATCGCCTCCCGCCAACAGATCTATTTAATTTCCAAACAGGTTGTTATATTTGAAAATTATAAGTATATTTGTAGACAATTTTTGTCGTAGAGAACTGTATTTTTTATTTTATTTTTATTATATTTTTAATCTAGGGAAACAGTGTTTACAAATCTTTATACAATTGTAGGTATATCATATAAACGATACATCGATACCTAAAACATATCGTCTACCTAGCGGTGTTAGTTAACAATTACAAAAAACTACACATTAAATTAAAAAAAAATTAATGTACAAAAACTAACTTTAGATCATTAACAACAAAAATGTATATACTTTACAGTAAGAATTTTTTTTTGTATTTCATTTGATTCTAGAAGAATTATAAATTAATAAATTTCATTCAATATACACATGAAAATCTAATTATTCAAATTTATTAGGTATCGGGTACGCGGTAGTTTTGATAGCGTTCTACGTGGACTTCTACTACAATGTCATAATCGCTTGGGCACTTCGATTCTTCTTTGCATCCTTCACCACTTTGCTGCCTTGGACCAACTGCAACAATGCTTGGAATACGCCTTCTTGCCAACCGGTGAGATAATTTAGATTTTAAGTATCACCAGCCCTGGATTTACTCTAGGGGCACTCGGGGCTAGTGCCCAGGGCGGCAAATTTTTAGGGGCGGCAAAATTCGGAGGGTGGGAAAAAATTTTTCTTCGCGTTATCGAAAATGCTTTTTTTATATACCAAGAAATTAAAAAAAAAAGATTGACTTGTAGGTACATTTTTCGAAAAATTGATATCATTTATAAATTATTATCTTTTTGCATATTTCGAAAAATTAATAATTAAAAAATTTAAACTTTTAACATTTTATTTAAAATTTCGATAATAAGGCGGCATTTTTTATAGTGCCCAGGGGCGGCGCTAAGGTTAATAAATATACATATATCTAATTTGCCTTTTATATTTATTTAAAGGTGTTTAAAAAACATGCTCGATTTGGCTAAATAATTAATACCTAATACAGTTTTAATTTTTATCAAAATGGTCACAGTTTCCTTATACTCCTCTCAACTTATACGTCTATTTTGTATGGCGTCATATTATAATATCTTCTCTAAAAAAATATTATTTCGTTTAAAAATTATGACTTAGATGCTAGCACATTCACTTCTTCAGTATTATTATTATTTTTCAATAATTTTATAAACAAATTTCCATACATATACGAAAATTATGTTTGTAGTTCGAAGCTAACTGGACGTTGATAAACGCAAACGAAACAAGCCACAATTCGTCAGAGACAGAAACACAGACCGCTCCATACACATCTGCTGCATCAGAATACTTTAAGTAAGTTACACTCTATATAAAAACTAACAAATTTTATATAAAACACACTTTATATAATACTTATGATTAATATTTTATATATACTTATGATACATTGAAAATTTTATAAGAGTCATTCCACGTTAAGCGGATAAAGAAAAAAATATCCATATTTCCGATTTACATATTAGTCCTCGACCAACATATAATTTTTTTTATAACACAGAGCCTGGTTACTGAGTTAGATGACTGAAATTTTGCCTAACACATTATCTAGTAATAAAAAGCTATAATAAAATAAATAAAGCGGTTCAATTTGTACTCCTTTTGAAATAAAACTGTCTTTTCGGACTATTTCGCGGATTTATTTTGATTTTTAGTTCCGACGTTTCGAATGCTTTACAGCAGTCGTGGTCATGGGAGAGACTTAGGTTTTAGACATCTCAAGGGCTCTCTCTACTCCATTTATTGGTTTTTTAATTATATTTTTAAATATTAAAAAAAAATAAAAATATTTTTATTTTTGTAACTTGAATTTCAAAGTAAACTCTATTTTTTTTATTTAACTAAACAAATACATTCAACATATTTTTTTTACCAGACCGCTTCACGCGGAATCGCTTATAATTAGGCCATAAGTCATATTGAAATTGTCAGTTATTAAAAGTATTTGATACCATACGAGTACAATATAAAGCTTCATTATACCTGGGTATTAAATTCTGTAGCTTTCTCTATATTGCTCTACTGGCATTGCCCGCGGCTCCGCCCGCGTTCAGATGAAAAAAAACCAAATTAGGTTTTACGCATTAGTATACTCTAACATTGCAGTTTTTATATTTTTTCTCAAAAATGAGGTATTTTTCCGCGGTAAAAAGTATCCTATATGTTGACCCGGCTAACCAGCTGTCACCATAGCAAATTTCATCAAAGTCCATCCAGTGGTTTTTCTGTGATGCGGTAACAGACAGACAGACAGACAAAAATTCCAAAAACTATAGATTCGGCCTCTGTATCGATAATAATGTCTATTTCAATAAGATTTTCCAAAAAATATTTAATGTACAGATTCGACTTAGTTAGAATTTTATTATATGTATGTAAAAGATATTCTTGACTTCCAACGAAATCTAAATGTGTCTAACTAGTTTACGAGATTGAGATATCTATTTTACAAAATAATAACCACTTAGAATTATGCGAATATTTGACGTTTATTTTAACAAATAAGATATTATGTCTTTTTACTGTAGTATATCTATAACCGCTAAGCACATGGCGGCCTGTTGTGTGCACGACACAGTAGTTTTGTAGACATTTTTAATTTTAGTTACTCTATAACATTATTGTAAAGTTTAAAATATAATTGCATTCTACCTATCCATACTTCTATACTAATATTATAAAGAGGTAAAGTTTGTAAGTTTGTGAATTGGGAGTTTGTGACGTTGTAGGGGGATCTCTGGATCTACTGAACCGATTTAGATAAAATTTGGAGACCCTGGAAAGGACATAGAAGTCTTTTCATCCCAGAAATCATCCCTTAAGGGGGTGACAATGGGGATGACAGTTTATATTGGGAAGCAAGCTAGGGACGAACACGAGCGAGGCGAGGGTGAGTCGCTAGTATTAAATAAAAAAAGTCGAAGTCACAAAGGGAATAAATTTATGATATCTAATAAAATATAGATTTATAAAAATCATAGTTCATATCAATCTTTCTTCAGTGCTGAACGCTGATTTAGTCTGGTATATTTCTTCTGTGTTTTATATTACAGTCGGGCCATATTGGAACTACACAGAAGTGAAGGTTTACATGATTTGGGCGCCATAAAGTGGGACATGGCTTTGTGTCTCCTCGCAGTTTATATTATTTGCTACTTCTCACTATGGAAAGGCATCAGTACTTCTGGGAAAGTATGTAAATTATATACATGTTCTATATAATTTTAATTTTTAACGAATCAAAGTACATATTATCACACTATTTTTCAAATTTTCATACATGTACAATGTACATATTATAAGGGTTGACTTGCTGAAATAAATCTCTTTTAAAGATGAACCCTCTAAAGATGAAGTCAGTACATTTTGTGTGTATTTTTTATGTATTACTTGGAGTGACGATATACGTAGTGTCTGGCAACGGTTAGATGCACAGAAATCTTAATATTAGCTTATTATTAAGATTTCTGTGGTTAGATGCGTAGAGTTGAATATCGAGCTCAGTGATGTGCCTTAAGAGAGACATAATTCGTTGGCTCACTATTACAAGGTTCTATGTTACAATTTTAGTACTTATTTGTTATTAATGCTACAAGGTTCTATGTGTCATTAGCTACAGTTTTTCAAAAACAAACCATTAGATAGCGGCACTATAACTACAAAATATTCAATTTTACATAGTTCTATGTTGTTTTTTTACGATAACAAAATAACGAAGTTCTATGTAAAAATTACTAAACTTCATTAAAATTAACATAGAACCTTGTAATAGTAAGCCAACGAATTATGTCCAGCTTTGGACGAAAGCTGGCTGATTATAATGATGATAATTTTGTTGTAATATTTTTTTTTGTCTTTATCGAGAAATAGATGAGTTCCTGTTTCAAGTCTACTTAATATTACCTTTATTAAAAAATTTTAAGATGATCTAGAATTCTCTAGAAACAAACTAAAATGTACAAATTATATTATATAATTAGGTATATTTGAATGAATACGACTTAAATCGATAAAGTAAATATTTTTTTATGAAATATATTGTTTTACAGGTTACTTTCTTAGATTTACGCGAATATTTGACATTTTAAATAAAACTATCTTTTCGGATTTTGTCGCGGATTTATTTGGATTTTTGTTTCCCGACGTTTCGAATGCTTTACAGCATCCATGGTCACGGGAGAGACTGAGGTGTTACATGTCTTGAATGTATAGTTGTTACAGACAGCCTACCCACAATTAACAAAATGAAAATTGCACCAATTACATTACAATATTTTTTAACTTTAAACATTTTTATAATTTTAATTATAATTGAATATGGAAAATTATTTATTTAATTTTGCTATTATTTTTTTATAATTATTACAATTTTAAAATATTAATTAGTAATCTATATTTAATGTTGCCATTATTATATTTATAACCATAAAGAAAAATATAAAATGTAGTATTAATTATTAAAGCCATATAATTGTTCTATGTGTAATTTAAAAAGTTAAAATTAATTAAGGATAATAATTTTAATTTAGTTTGCTATTATTTAAAAAACAACTTACTAAGCAACACTATTAATATATACTTTTACAAATGAAAAATGAAAAATATTAGTCTGATAAGCTGTCATTTTGATCTACACAGTATGAACTTACTACATCTGCCTGTCTGTTATGTTTATATTTATTATTTGATTTTATTATATTAATAACAGGATTCCATGACGATGGTAGTACCCAGCCATCTTCCCTATTGAAATTAGGATGTTTTTTAATTTCTATGGCTTCTCGAATCATTCTAGGGCGATATCGGTTTTCTTTCGCCAGGATTTGAGGTCTATCGAAGCGAATATAATATAAGAATTAAAAAATATAAGAATTAAAAAACATCCTAATTTCAATAGGGAAGATGGCTGGGTACTACCATCGTCATGGAATCCTGTTATTAATATAATAAAATCAAATAATAAATATAAACATAACAGACAGGCAGATGTAGTAAGTTCATACTGTGTAGATCAAAATGACAGCTTATCAGACTAATATTTTTCATTTTTCATTTGTAAAAGTATATATTAATAGTGTTGCTTAGTAAGTTGTTTTTTAAATAATAGCAAACTAAATTAAAATTATTATCCTTAATTAATTTTAACTTTTTAAATTACACATAGAACAATTATATGGCTTTAATAATTAATACTACATTTTATATTTTTCTTTATGGTTATAAATATAATAATGGCAACATTAATATAGATTACTAATTAATATTTTAAAATTGTAATAATTATAAAAAATAATAGCAAAATTAAATAAATAATTTTCCATATTCAATTATAATTAAAATTATAAAAATGTTTAAAGTTAAAAAAATATTGTAATGTAATTGGTGCAATTTTCATTTTGTTAATTGTGGGTAGGCTGTCTGTAACAACTATACATTCAAGACATGTAACACCTCAGTCTCTCCCGTGACCATGGATGCTGTAAAGCATTCGAAACGTCGGGAAACAAAAATCCAAATAAATCCGCGACAAAATCCGAAAAGATAGTTTTATTTAAAATGTCAAATATTCGCGTAAATCTAAGAAAGTATTATGTGAACCAGTACGGACTGGAAATCGCAAACCAAATACGCCGGTTAGAAGATCTGAAGACAAAGCGCGCAAGATTATTAACATCTTTAACATTCTTGAAGAGATGTCGGGATCATCGTCTCATTCCTACGTGTGTGAAAATATCATCTAAAAAGAACATACGGGGAAGCGCCAAGATCGTTAACAAGGCAAGTTTTAAGTTGTTACGGACGGTGATTCGTCAAACCCGCCGTGATCTACGCAGTAACGACCGGTACGTAGAACAAACGTCCCTTAATATAAAGACAGTATTGACACCAAGTGATTTCAATGATTGCATTGAAACTTTAAATAAGCGCGAAACATCTAAATTTAACCAATGCAAAAACAAACATATATTAAAATACCAAAAATTAGTCGAGAAATATAACATCAAAAAGAAAATCAAAAACAATAACGGAACGCGCCCGTCTACCACAGTTTCAAATTCGTGCGTACGTCAAGCAGTTGTCAATCTGTCAAAACAAACATTGGACGAATCTACTATTCAAGTACTAAGTAAAGGCTTAAATTTTGCTGTTGCGCCGACACGCATCCCTTATGAGAACATTATTTGTGCGGTTGAAGATGCCCTGGCCAAAAATACTATGAAATCTGAGGATATGGAGGCCATACGTCAAGATGTTTCATCTTTGTTACGTCGTAGTTCAAGGCCCAAACCTAATCTCAATAAACAACAGTATTTAGCGTTGAAGAACTTACGCAGCAGGTCAGACATTATCATACTACGCGCAGACAAGGGAAATGCCACCGTCGTGATGGATACATCAGATTACAATGAGAAAATTAAACAACTTTTGTCGGATGAAAGTACATATAAAAAGGTCAAAACAGACCCAACCACCACTGTGTTAAATAATACTAAAAAGCTGATTAAGAAACACTCCGATGCATTGAATCTTGATGTCAAAAATCTTGTTCCATCTTGTGCAAAGCCGCCTAAACTGTATGGACTTCCAAAGATACACAAACCTAACGCTCCGCTACGTCCAATTGTGAGTCAAATCGGCACACCGACTTATAAATTGGCCCAACTAGTAGCGAAAGTACTCTCAACACTCAGAGGACAAACATCAGCGTTCACAAGGGACTCGTACCATTTTGTCAATGAGATAAAACACCTACAACTCATGGACAATGAAACTATGGTCAGTTTTGATGTACAGTCTCTATTCACTAGCCTACCAGTAGAGGACTGTGTCAAAATAGTATCAAGAAAGCTACGGGATAATATTATGCAAGAAGAATACACTGAACTTTTGAAACACTGCCTTACATCTGGCTATCTATTGTGGAATGATGAATTCTACAAGCAAGTGGATGGAGTGGCCATGGGTTCGCCGGTCTCTCCCGTTGTAGCTGACATCTTCATGGAGGCCTTCGAGGAGACCGCCCTAAACACATCACCTGTGACCCCTCGTTTCTACAAGCGGTATGTAGATGACACTTTCACAATATTACCATCTGATAAAATATCTGTATTCTTAGAACATCTTAACTCCATAAACCCTAAAATACAATTTACAATGGAATTGGAGTCTAATAATTCTTTAGCTTTCTTAGATGTATTAGTTATACGTAACCCAGATAACACCTTAAGTCATACTGTGTATCGAAAGAAGACCCATACTGATAGGTACTTGAATGGTGAATCTCACCACCACCCTTCACAGTTAGCTACCGTGGGAAAATCTTTGTTTCAGAGGGCACGCGGGATCTGTGACGAGCAACACCTGGCCGGAGAGCTGCAACATGTCAAGCAAGTTCTGCGAGACAACAAGCTGCAAGTGCCGCGCCTACGTCACAGGGACCGAGTGAAACCAGCCACAGTCGAGCGCGTCCCTGCAGTCCTACCTTACATGAGAGGCGTCACTGACAAGATTGGCTACATTCTAAAGCGAGCTTCAATTAAAACTTACTTCAAGCCGCCAAAGAAAATTAGTCAGTTTCTACCACCTGTCAAGTGCCACATCCCTCTACAAGATGCAGGAGTTTACAAGCTTGATTGTGATTGTGGGCTCTCTTACATCGGACAAACAAAGAGATCCATTAGAACCCGGGTCAAAGAACACATAGCTGATGTGAAGCACCGTCGCAATACAACATCTGCTGTCTGCAAACATAGTCAGGACCGCCCAAGCCATTATATTCGCTTCGATAGACCTCAAATCCTGGCGAAAGAAAACCGATATCGCCCTAGAATGATTCGAGAAGCCATAGAAATTAAAAAACATCCTAATTTCAATAGGGAAGATGGCTGGGTACTACCATCGTCATGGAATCCTGTTATTAATATAATAAAATCAAATAATAAATATAAACATAACAGACAGGCAGATGTAGTAAGTTCATACTGTGTAGATCAAAATGACAGCTTATCAGACTAATATTTTTCATTTTTCATTTGTAAAAGTATATATTAATAGTGTTGCTTAGTAAGTTGTTTTTTAAATAATAGCAAACTAAATTAAAATTATTATCCTTAATTAATTTTAACTTTTTAAATTACACATAGAACAATTATATGGCTTTAATAATTAATACTACATTTTATATTTTTCTT